TACCCTGAAATAGTTCCCAGTTTAAAAGGAATGATAGAATGAGATGCTAAATAATATTGCAACATGGAAAATGACACTGTAGTTAAAGTTCTGCTAGTAGACAGATGTGTGACCTCAGATAAATTATCTCCATTGTGTGTTCCTTTATTTATCCAAATCTGTGATATTAGTGTTTGACTAGATTTTCCTAAGGCTCTGGTTTTATAACAGGTGTGCAGTTAATGGTACTTTGGTTAAATTATTTACTCGTAGGCAACATCCTTGGAGAGTCTGATGCAGTAGGCCTGTGAATTCCCCTGGTGACTGTGATCACATCCGGATTTAAGAACATTGACCTACGTCTTTTTAGCTTTGCTATCTTAGAATTCTAATTGCAGTACAAGGCAGTCTGTGACAGTGCAGCAGGAATCAGGCAAGTTAAGGTCATGTATTTGTTCCGAGGCAGAGACGATATTGTTTTTTGCTTGGGTGATGGGAGAACTTAATGGAAAAGGTGATGTTGGAATGGACTTTGAAGAATGGATGGAGATATGAGCAGGTGCAGAAGTGAAACATGAGAGGTGTTTAGTCTTTTTTTTTTAAAGATTTTATTGGGGAATTGGGGGAGGGGAACAGCATTGGGGACTTGGGGAAGGGGAACAGACAAGTTGCTGTCCTTTTGTTCTTCAGTCTAGTTGTGGAGGACGTCGCTTCACTGGTCCATGTTGGTATTATCATTGCGCTCTTCCCAGGTAAGGCAGATCAGTCACTGGCCACTGGATGGCTACTCACGGCAGCTCTTGGCAGCTCACGCTGGCTGCTGGCCACTCATGCTGTCACCAGCAGCTCACGGCAGCCCAGCTCCAGGTCGAGCTGTTGTTCAGTATCTTAGTTGTAGAGGACGCAGTGTCACTGGCCCATGTGGGATCCGAACTGGGGCCCTGCTGCTCAGAGCTGGTGTCCCAAGCCAGCTCTTAACCAATGTACCACTCGGCCGGCCTGGTAGGTGTTTAATCTTAATTGGAGGCCAGAATATATGCAAAAAAGCAGGGGGGGAAATGACCCATTTTGAGGCAATGGACCATAGTTCTAGTCTTGTTTTCCCTACTTTATCTGTCATACTTGGTTGTCCTTTTGGAAGTAAAAGATTCTATTGTTGCAGCTGGATCCTCATTTGGTGGAGGTGAAATATATGGTGATAGATCCCATGGGGCCGCTTTGGGAAATAATAGGACATTTTTGTATATAAGCCTTTTGGGGCTGTGCCCTTTGAGATCTATTTTGACCACCCTGTTGGTTTTCTGGTTAGATATACAAAGAATATCAGGACTCACTCTGTTATCTAAAATAATAGTTTTGTCGAGTGTGGAGGCTCCAAAATCCAAGGTTTGACCTCAGCCTGCCCTTGCTAGTGCTTGGGCCACAGGTGAGCCATTATTGGCTGCCATTATGGACCATTTCCACTCCTGGTAAGTAAGAGGGCTTCAGGCCTGCCAGTGCTGTCCACCAGGAGCCCAGATGTGTCAGGCCTTCTTTGAGGGGCTTTCCTTCAAAAAGCCAGGTTGACTCCTGGCTGCCTTTCCTCATTCGGGAGTCTGGGTGGCCCATGGTGGTTGGTAGTTCAAGGCTTCACAAGAGGCGGTGGGTTGGACTGTGCAGAGCATTGACTCTGAGCCAGGAGTCTTGACTGCTTGGTCAGGCCTTGCTGCACAGGGCCTCCAGGTACCGGTCTCCATGAAGCTCTTCCACACACTCTCGCTTTCATTCTTCACAGCAGCCCTCCACCATTACTCTTTCTTGAGCATTTATATACCTGTCTCTGTGGTAAGGCTTTTTGTACTTCTCATTTAATCCTCTCAACAAGCCTGGAACGTGGGCGCTATTTCCATTTTTCACAAATGAAGAAATGTGGCCCAACTTGTTAAATTGCACAGCCCACATAGGTAATAAATGGCAAAATCAGTGGAAAAAACAAAACAAAACAAACAAACAAACAAAATAAATAAATAATAATTTTGCTGTCAGAATGATTATTATTCAACCGAAGTTGGCTTTTTTGTTTAGATGAAACCATATAAAGGCAACATTCTGAGTAAATTATATAGCATCCACATGATGAAATAATGAGCCTAAGTTTAGGGGATGAAAGTAATGATCTGATGCAACATTTAGAATGGATATACACTATGTAGTTATTAACTGAAAAGTCACATCCTGCATTCTTTTGATTTGTGGAAAATTTGTCATTAATTGCCAGGAAGCTTCTGATTTTTTCATACATAATCACATCATAGCTGTTGACTTTCTCCCCCTTCTCCTGCCTTAAAATACATCCTTGTAAATAGTAGATTACTTTCAGCTCTGTAATACCCCTTTTAAACATTGGGTTACTAAGTTTAGCCCAGTCGCTCTCTTTTTTTAAAAATGAAATTATTTTTTCCCCCAGCTTTGCCTCAGAGTCGTTACTGACAAATCACACTTTGTTTTGGGATAACAACTGGCTTAAAATCTGATTTAATCTTTTTCCCCAGTGGGAGCCTTCTAGTTCTGAAATGCTTTTTATTTTCGTGAGTTAGCACTGTGTGCAGATAGTGGATATGGCATCCCATTTAGAAACAGTCTGTGAGATGAGTTCTGACCCTTCATTTAAACTCATTCTAAATGGAGTTACTTTTATTAAATAATTGTCAAAGATAGCTTATCAAGGTAGGGTTAGAAACAGAAATTAAAATTCAGAAGCAAGAATGAGGTAGTGGGCAAGAAATGAGGCAGCCAGGTAGAATTCAGTGCATGTGTACCCCTGGCAGCTGTCTCCGATGAGTGTAGGATTTACAGGCGACCCTGTGGGACCCAGTCAGCCCACTACATCAGGCAGCCATTGCTGATGTGGGTTTCCTAACTATCAGTTGACTTCAAAACTAGAGAAGTGAAAATACCGAGCCTGTTGTGATTAATTGTGAAGAATTACTTTTATTAATGCGAATTCTTTGCCTTTGGTAGTACCAGATCACCTTAGAGAGTGCTTTAACCAGGATTTATTTGAAAAGAACAAACCACCCCACAACATAGCTAGATGAAAGAAGGACCTTTCCTATAGATAAGAGAATGGAAAACAGAATAGAAAAGCCTTAGACTAGAGAAAATATCCCCAATTTCAGGAAGAACCTTCATAGGAAAATTACTACTGTGGCACACTTGCTATCTATTATCTGCCAGGCTGTTCAGAAGAAGAATAGAATTAGGAATTAGAACTTGGAAGCACATTTAAGAACTTGAACTGTTTTGCACATCGTGTTCTGTGTTCGTGTTGCCGTGGGTGACATTGGCGGCCAGCCTCTGCTTCAGCCAGAGTGCTGGGGGTTTGTTATCTGCTTACACAGTAGGATTTCCCGTATTATGGGGTTGGATATGGGAGTTCTGCTCTTTTATAAAGTCTGAAAACCACTGGTTTAGGTCAAATGCCCAAGATTTTATAGAGAATGTATCTGACGGTCAAAGTAGTTATATTTTATACCAACAGTTGCACAACTAATTAGAGGTTGACAGAAATTAGAAACCATGAAACTGGACTTCCCATCCAGTGCATTTTTACTACAAAATGTTGATTTGATTTTCCATTTTGAAAGACACAGAAGTGATCTGTGAAATGGTGATTAACACTAGGCAGCCCCAGGCAGCCCTGGAATGCTCCATGGTTCAAATGCACAAGACCAGATGGAGGTGCAGAAGTGGATGACTCAGAGTTTATTAGTTTTGCCACCTGGGCACTACAGCCGAACCAGCTGCCATGAGGCAGTTCCAATTTCAACAGAGCAGTAAATGAACATAAAAGTCAGTGTAAATCCCGGGCACACAGGAAAGGGGAATGGCTGCTGTTGCAGGGAGATGCACCCAGGCCGAGCCCTAGTTATAGCCCTTGTAGGAGGCACAGGTGCCATTCCAGGTAGAGGGCAACAACAGGTTGTGTCACCAAGCCCTAAAAAATTGCCCTTTGAGTTCTTCCAGGAGCCAGTCTCAGAGTGGGGTATGTTTACCTTGCTGGCTTGGTAGATGCCCAGTCACTTCTGATGATCTAGAATGGGACAAGCAAGCCCATGCTCTATCTTAGTTATGTTATGAGGCTAGAAGCCTTTTTTTCTGGAAACTGGAAAGTTGCTGTAGGTCACCTTCTTTCCACGGTTCTGGGCCCTTGGAGGCATGGATAGTCACTGGAACATAAGCTGTTTGTGGAAGATCAGCAGGAATCAAGCCGTTATCTTCCTGTCCTCATATGGAATGGAACCATTGTGGGTTTTCAAGATCTGCATGAGGAAATATTGCAAGAGTCAGAGGTCGATGCTAAGGTTTTAGATGACCCGTTTAATAGAACTCTGGTTCTTGAAAGCTGAACTGAGTATAATGCGGGCATGGGGCCAGCAGCAAGTTGGGAAGGTAGAGTAATTTTTGTTTAAATGAGAATGATTCACTGATGAATAAAAAAAAGTCAAATAATGATCTGCTGTGTCTGAATGCTTTGAGTAGCAAGTGACAGAAAACTTGACTAAACCAACTTAAACAAAATGGAGGTTTATGATTTTTTTATGTAATGAGACGTGTAGAGGACTGTGGCTCCTGACTTTGGTTCACCTGCTCAGTGATGACACGGCTCTTTTATACTCGTGGAAGGTCAGAGGAAAGGTGGGTGGGGATAGGCCTGTGTTTTCCTGTGGCTATGCTACTGAAGGCTGGGCCAGGTTCATCTGCTGGTTAACCTCTGCCTGCAGGTGTCTTCTCGGCCTCACTGATGTGGGGTTTGTATTTCTTGGTTGACCATTACTCAGTACTCAGTTTCATGCAATGATGTAATACTGCTCTTCCTTTCTGATGAGAGCATGGATGCCTGCATATTTTCTAACCTGTTGGAGGTTTTGTCTCTCTCTTTTTTCTTTTACAATGACGTAAATTGAAATCAAATGAGACCTCTCATAGTCTCCTGCTTATGAGTATTGATAAACTAGCTTTTTTTTCCCCCTTTCTGGTAGGTGGCATGTTTGACCCAGGTAGCTGCTAATTACCTGATTGCCCAAAAGGAAGCAGAACGGTGGGGCACAGCCCACGGCAGTATTGTTCCTTACCAGGTAAGAGCACAACAGTACAGCATCGGGCTGCTGTAATCTGCAGTTCTGTACGGCATGAGTTTGAGAAATGATTTCCTTTAAAAAAACTTCCAGGGTATTCTGACATATATCTTTGTCTGACTATAACAAGGTTCTGTTGTTCATTTTAAATGCTGGGTTTTACACATTTCTTCATCAGAAGAAGATTAGTAACAGGACACTTAAATGGATCAAAGAAACTCGCTGAAAGTGAGTAACTTTTGAACTCATGATGGTTTGCTTTTTTTTTCTTTTTTCACCTAAAAGAGGCACTGATTGTAACCATTTTATAAAGCATGGTTTGTTCACATGTCAGTTATAAACCAAATGCTACTTACCCAACCTGACAGTGATATTCTCACAGAGTTGGAATAAAGAGAAAATTTGTGTGTGATGGATATTCATTTTTCAGCAAAGCAGAGGGTTTAGGAACTACTGTTCTTTATTAAGTGTCGAAACTTGTCCTAAGAAATTGTTGACTTTGGTAATGTAAATGAATATGTGAAGGAACAGTGATCTTTCAAAAATAAAACAAAATCCAAAACTTGAACTCTTCTTCCAGACCTCCAACCTTTGCTTAGCCCAGTTGCGTCCTGTCTCATTGTATTACTAATGTGTTTGTCATATCTTCTGCACTGTGTTGTCACTGTAAGAGTAGAAGTGTCTTTTCCATCACAGTGTCCTTTCTCACATGCAGTAGAAGCACATACTAAATACTATCTAAATACCTGTTGAATAAAGAGTAAATTATACTAGTCATTTCAATGCCAGTGCTCTTGACAGAATACCCGAAAGCCAGCATTTTCCATTTGCTAGGAAATCCATCAACACTGCTAATGATCCTTTTAGGTTTATTTTTGTTTTTTTTTTTTTAAAGATTTTATTAGGGAATTGGGGGAGGGAAACAGACAAGTTGCTGTCCTTTTTGTTCTTCAGTCTAGTTGTGGAGGACGTCACTTCACTGGCCCATGTTGGTATTATTGCCCTCTTCCCAGGTGAGGCAGATAGGTCGCCGACCACTGGACGGCCACTCACGGCAGCTCTTTGCAGCTCATGCCAGCTGCCAGCCACTCACAGTAGCTTATGGCAGCCCACTGCAGCTCTACTACAGCCTATGCTGTTGCCGGCGACTCATGGCAGCCCAGCTTCAGGTCGAGCTGTTGTTCAGCATCTTAGCTGTAGAGGGCGCAGTGTCACTGGCCCCAATGTGGGATCCGAACTGGCAGCCCTGCTGCTCAGAGCTGGTGTCCCAAGCCAACTCTTAACCAATGCGCCACTCGGCCGGCCCCCTTTTAGTTTTAAGAACATTATCTTCTTGTGCAAAACTAGTTTCATTTTCATTTTTAAATACAGATTTGAGGAACGCACTGGCCCAATGTGAATCTACACTTCTCTTTCTGTTTCTACTTATGGTCCCTCTACACTTGAGACATTACTGTGATTTCTCTCTAGAACTATGATTTCTCTTTTTAACACATTTAGTTAATCTTGTGGCATAATTACAGTTGTGGTAACATTTTCTTTAGTGCTTTCCATGTTCTCTTCTATAGTGGTTTTATGGCCACCGTTTTCTTCCCCACTTCGTAGTCCCCTGTGTTTGCCCCTACACTTCTAGCCAGAACTACCTTAGTTCACAAAAGTGGTATTTTTCAACTAATTAGAAACCATTAAATTCAGCCTCCTCATTTTTCAGGTAAGAAATCTGATACCTAGATTGATTAGATGGACTCCAGGTCTGATCTCCTGCCTCCTTGGGAGAACATTCTTTCAGATCCTGGTACTTTTGACAGGGGAGTGTGATTCCAGTCCTCTCCTTCACCCTACACCCACGCCATCAAACTTGCTCCTAGCTAAGGGGTCAGTCACATGGACTAATTAATTATGCTCATCAATGATAAGGGAGACCCCTCTCAAGGGCATTTTAACAGAGGACAGGGCAGTGTTGGAATAATGGGAATTCATCTCAGATAATGGGAGTCCAGGCTTCAGTTTTTGATGAGTGTGGAGAAAACATTTGTAAGGGGAAGGCTTTACAGTGTAATTCAAAATCTCATTGCATGGGGGGGGGGGTGTTCATGTATATGTTCAAATATAAGATTTGTAGTTTATTTTTTGCTTATTTAAAAAAGAATGTCCTTTTAAATAATCTTTTTATTTTTCAATTAAAGTTGACCTACAATATGATATTTAGAATGTATTCTTTGAAAGTTTTGTGTAGACCATAGCTATCTGCCTGGATGTTCACACCAGAGCTGTGGCATCTTGGGTGTGCTGTCTGTTATTTCATTGTGATGTGAAAGAAATGTATAATCTTTGACTTTTATTACTCTAGGTAAAGTATATGAGAGCCTCTGTGTGTGTGTGTGTATTTTTGTTCTTTGAAGACAAAAATGTACATTTTCTGCTTGAATTGTCCCAGTCACATGAAATGGATAGTGTGCTTATTTGATCTAGTTGATTGCAGCTTTATTATTGGTAAGAAATAAGAGAAGATACGCTAGGGTGTGTCCTCAGGAGCCTAAAATTAATTTGTTTTCTCTAGGTAGAGAACTGGTTCTGTGATTCAGAACTGTGATTAACGGACAAATGCAAATTTAGCCTAAATGAAACTAGCATACCAAAATGGGTCCTAGATATGCTTGTAGGCCCTGATCTGTTTTCATTTTTTAAAATAGATTTGGGAACTATTTTTATGGGTGAATGCCAGGATAATTATAATTCAGTTTTCTATAATAATTATAGCTTTGCATCTAATTTGAGTTGTCTTCAGTGTTGAGCTGAAGTCTATAATGAAGACCCTGATGGTCTCAGGAATTAGTTACAGGGCCCAGACCACTTTCCTCAATTCTTGTTGAACCCTATTCGAAAGATCATAGATCTTGAATGCATGGAATGTAAATTTCTGAAAAGTAGTGATCCTTGATTTGTTTGTTATTTTATATACATGCAATTCTTAACTTCACAGGTTGATTATCCACTTTTGCATTTTCTTCTCTATTTTTTGGCTGCCCACTTTTTGAGAATGAGTAAGCTAAAAAAAGGAGACAGAACTGAGATAATCATTTGCTACTTGTTGAACATCTTGGTGGATACTTTTCTGAGAGTTCAGATTTTAAAAAGAATTTTGGATTTCAATGACTTTTTTGTTCCCATTATCATTGTATTTTGCCCCTGAGAAATGCCCAGCTTAAGAGATTGATAATTATATAATGTTCATGTTAATATTTTTCATGTATTGGCTTTTGTCCAGGACTTGTCAGAGTTTCAAACAATTATATGAGTATTTATAAAGACCTGATGGTTTTGTGGATGGGAGAGGAGAGTGCAGAGAAAGCAGTTAGCTAGTCTTCAAAAAGAATATATTTTATTAGGTAATACAGGTATCAGTGGGGCCACTGTCCTTTAGATCTATGACTAACATGATAATCCCCCTAATTTCATAGACTGTGTGTATCCAAAACTCTCTCCCAAGTTTCTTCAGCATTCTAGGAACCTGTATGTGCATGTCCTCCTCTGCTCTCTGGTCTTATGACCCACACTGACTTCTGTCTTTCTCCAATGTCACAGGAGATCCATTCACAAATATACTACTCATGAGGATAGGAGACTATACTGAATATTTTGAAGAAAAATGGGAAAGTTTTTACAGATGAAACTTATAGTCTGCCATAGGAGGCCTCACCTTTCTTAATCAGAGCCTTTGGCTGCTACTAGGGAGTGTCACTGTTGTGAATAGCATAAGAATCTCCCCATCTTCTGTTCCTTTCTTTTCCTTCTCCTTTTTTGGCTTCTCTTCAAGAATAATGAATTCCTCTGATCTTATACAGAGTTGTTACACTCTCTAGTGCAGGCACAGATCTTTGGGTGGCTCCCTAAACGCTTAACAATTTATTGTTTGTATATAAAGAGAATCCCTTCCTAAGGGACATGATGGTGGATCTAATGTTATAGAAGCCTACTGAGCTCTTTATGTATCCTGATAACTGTTTTTCTCTGAGTCCAGATTGCCTGAGAGAGCGCAGAGTTTCATGTACTCCTTCAGCTATGGTGTTGCTACCATGATCAACATAAACTGTCCAAGGACTAACCCAGAGTATGAGACTACACCACAACTCTGTCCTCCCCTTAGAAGGCTGCCAGAATGAACCCCATCATTCCTTACACATTGGCCTCAATCTCCAGCAGGACTCCAAGTCTCCCAGCACATCTGTTACCACCTGGACGATCATTCCCACGTGGCTCTGTTCACCTCTTCCTTTGACCCAGTCATTCCTTCTGTCATCAGTCTTGGTGGCTGTGAAAGCCACTGAGAGGACCAAAGCAACAGCCTGGCCTCTTATTTTTTAAACCTCTCATTGTTCATAGTGGTCTTTTCCTGTTTCACTTAGAGCCCACTCACGTATTTCTCAAACTTGAACATGGACACGAATCATTTGGAAGTCTTGTTAAGATGTGGCTTCTAATTCCAGGTGATGCCAGTGCCGCACTGGGAGTTATAAGGTTCAGGATCTAGACTTTATTATCATCGATGACAGTGCCATCTCCTTTGTATGCAGCTGGCAAGCCCCAGTGTTGATTATAGACTTCCCACTCCATGTATTCCAGGCCTGTACTCAAGCAGTGAATGTGGGCAGAGGAAACATATTATACCTGCCCTGTTGACTCTCCCACTCTTAGTTTATGGCTGCCTCCCTCAAATGTCTCTCTCAGCCTTATCCAGCCATCATGTCACACTGAACTACACGTTCACCTCTGAGGGGACTATTTCACATCTCTCTCCTCAAATCTCCGTCCCCCCTCCCCATCTTTTTCCTTCGCTAAGGACTTCACCTCTTATTTCACTCAAAAGTGATGCAATCAGAGAACAGCTGCATTTTTCTCTGCTGTACCTCCCAAACTCTTACATGTGTATCTGTATGTAGTTCATTTTATTTCCTCCTGTCATAATGGATGAATCGTCTCTTCCCACATTCTGTCTACTT